AAATTCAAATGAGGAGAAAGGTCTCCAAAGACCTAAGGGACTGAGCAAATGTGGCCAGAGACAATGGTGGGTCTTGATGAATGGGCTGCTGGGGAGCAGAGCCATGAGCAGGAGGAAAAAGAAATCACGGCGGCGTTTCGATGCCTCTATTCATATGCAAGAGGATTTACACCAAGTTCCCATTCTTCACTGACAATCAAGAAATTCAGGTTTTTCTTAAAGTTGCATCTTGGCAGCATCATTTCATAGAGAGAGGTGGGGCACCTCCTCCCACCCCCTGCCCCTGCCTTGCGCACAGACACATCAGGCTTAAACAAGTCAGGGTCACAATCGAAATTCTGAATCCGGTGGGTTGTTTTGCTTTATTATTGCTTCAGACCGTAGTCTTGGTGCAGGGGATGCTCCCTCGGGGTCTCCGAGCCAAGGTGAGAGGCGTTTCTCTCTGGAAATGGGCTCCTTTTGAGACAAAGAATTACAGTGCACGGTAACAAGTAACACAATTAGAAAACTTTTGGCCAGTCGAGTGGGGTCCTCAACCAAGAGTCCTTGGGTCAAGGGCAACCTGCGTGGAGGGTTTGGCTGGCTCTGGTGATCCCACAGCCTTTCCCGCGTGTGCGAGGCTGGCGACAGCCCAGGAGCAAGGGCGCCGCTTCGGTGTGGCTGCCCGCTTGTGCCAGGGTTCTTTGAAGTGAGGAGTCAATGCTATGAAACGCAGCGCGTCCCCTCTGCTGGTGTGGCCCCTGCGACTCACTGGACCTCTCCTTTGTCTGCTTAGGTTCCTGGTGGAATTTAACCTCTGCAGTTGGTCGCACTCAGACATGACAGCTGGAGGTAAGCAGCCGCCGACTTCCACGTCTGTCCTGAGAGCGACAGGCTCTGGGTCCCCTGTCAGCTCGTCATGGGGGTGTGTGCACTTGAAGCTCCCCAGGACGGAACGATGGTTTCTCAGCCCTGCCTGCGGAAGTCACACTTTGTACTGTAGGCAGGGCCACCCCGTATCACATGAATTCTACAGGTGTTGTCCAGCCCAGGTTGAATGTCAACTTTGACCTCTTTCTTAAGGAAGGCTTTGAGGTCCTGCACCGCACAGGTCCCTTCTCCAGAAGGCCTGCGGCCGTGCTGACATCTCAGGGAGGCAGACACAGGCTGAAAGAGTGGGCAGCTCCCTTGTTTGCGTGTCTACTGATGCCTGCACAAAGCCCACATCCGGCTGCAGTGCTGGCCCTGGGGCCAAGGGGAAAAGTGGAGCACTATGGGCAGAGACCTTGGCTTCGAAGTTGGCACGTTCATGGATTTCCCTTGGGCCGGGTTGCTTCGTAGTCAATAGGGAGCAAGTCCTATGTTACCTGCGTGCGCATTTAGCAGTGCCACAAATCATGTGACAAGCTGAGGACCAGGAGCCCTGGTGGCGCTGTGGGTGCAGCGCTGGACTGCTAACCACAAGGTCGGCATCTCAAAGCCCACCACCACTCCACCAAAAGGACCCTGAGGCTGCCTGCTCCCGTAAAGGCGTGCAGACT